CTACTCATATAATTATACTTTCGTTGCTTTCAAGATCAATGATATTGAACAAAACTTAAAGTGGTAAATAAGATTGATAAATTATATAAAGTTTGTAAGCTTGGAGAAAAAGTAATTCGATAACTGCCCCTACTTTATACAAATTACTGCCTATCATAATTTCAATAGCATGCGAACACAGATTATATAACCGTATGGAATATATGGCTTAATACTGTTGGTTCAATTATCGATTATCGTAAATGAGAAAAATGGAGGAGTAAATTAATCAATAATTTTAATGCTATATTTCCTTAGTTGATTTATATACAAGCAACGATAAGAAGCGGTACTAGTTCCTTTTCATCACGTCAATCAGGAAACTATGGCTGTTGCAAGAACTGGTATAAGTGTTCCTGAAAGGAATCCAGGACCAAGACTAACATCAGGTACTGGAAAAGCGACTTGCCATCGCAAAGATGCACTCATATCACTATACCCATGAGCTATTAGATGCATGCCTAGTAATCCATGTTATAGCATACTTCACAATACATACTAACGTAGACATGTCTGTATTAAAATAAAGCTGTATAAAGTTGTATTAAAAAAAGGTTACTTTGCTCACTAATTTTATTAATATCCAATTATTCCTCGCTTCTTTTCTAACAACGTTAAACACATATTTCTACCTTTCAGTATTCGACTCTATCTGGACAATAGAAATTGGATCAGTAATATTGAGTTTTGATGCAACTATTATAAGCTAAGATTTGCAGCGATAGTAATGTGACGGGTCTGCAGCATCCTATCTGCTGTACGAGCTCGTATAACGCCAAATACTGATCATTTCCAATTTAATCTCGCCGTATCATGGCAATATAGGCGTAGCTAATATCAGAAGATATTATATTAAAGAACAAAGAATCCCAGATATGATAGTTTGTATTTTCTATCGCTTTTAATTTTTGAAATCTTGTTGATTGAAGTACTACGAGGAAGTAACATGGGCTGAACTGGATATATATAGATACATCTTGGGTCATTATACGGTTTTAATTCACCCTGTCATGGCGATACTATATACTGTATGCTGTCTAAAGATGTAAAAATACTATACAGAAATTGAAAAATGACTAATACTGTGTCACAAAACAACTTTCGCGATCGTTCCTAAACTAAACTATCTACTCTAAAGGTTCCCCGACTAACTCCGGAGATCCTCAGTAAAGGAAAACTAACTTATTCCTATACCATAGACAACGAGTCCAACGATAGGTTTAGGTTATTAAATATTTTATTACCAGCTATTGCAACTTTGTACCAGTGTACTCTAGCGTAGCCTTCGTGGAACTAAGATTGAAAAATTAATAATCAGGCTTTTATACAATCTTCTATGTCACACAAATACCCCGGTGCTAATCTATCACATTAAATTATATAATACGCATTACAGATTTACTATAGACTAGACCGAGTGTTGATTACTAAATCTGGCTAGTTAATAATATTAATTAGCAGATTCACTTAATTATCATACTACAGTGGTACAATATCGCATTTTGAGTTATATTGCCCAATTCGGCGTAATTGATTAATAACAGTCAATATATTACAAAGTCATAAATAATAATAATAATCAATTACCAAATGAGGATTGTGGTCTATGACTTTATAATCTTTAATAATATTTTTAATAACTCGATACTATTTTGCAAGATTAAGTATAATCTTTACAGTCATTCTCATTAGCAACTTTACTGCTAGCCACTTATCACGGAGCATCAAACTCCGTAGCATACTGTAATTATCATTCCTCTATTTCTTTCAATTTCAAGTACTGTAGTACACGAATGCTAGCTTAGAATGAGCAAGGATGATGAATTCATTCTTGTCATATGTACCTATCGTGATTGTATAACATTATCTCGTCGGATTTTGAAGACATAGTGGATAACTAAAGTCAGAAAATGCTCCATTCGTATTCAATAGGCGTCGAAATATTTTCAACGAAGTGCAGACGACTTTATCTATCATATTGGCTTAGTCATAAATTATTATTGAATGCAGTAATGTCCTTTAGGAAATCATCCTTTTCGTATTAACCAGTAGATACCGACATTTACATTAACCAATCTCATCATAACCTTGGAATGACAACGATGCTAAATTAGCCAATTCATTCTGTATTGTGATAAAGGTTTGAATAAGCTTAGAAATATTTTCCCATTCTCTTCAAACCGCTTCGATTAATAGCTTCAATAACAACGACGACATCGTGGGTCTGAAATAGTTGCATAAATACAAATAAATAAATAAATAAATACAAATCAGTATTAGAGGTGAATTAAACACAATAGGATTCGGTTAAGCCACCCGCAGCTAAATCCAAATAGTAATAGAAGTCTAATTACATCATGTAGCCCATAGCCTATCTAATTAATACATGTCTTTAATTAATTAGATATGTATACTAGCCGAACCAGGCACTCCAAACTAATTTATACGCGCACATATGTACTGATTCCATCAGAGTTTGCATAACTAACTTTTATCAACGTGACTGGCTCTTCTTTCTTGCTGGCTAATAAACGTTGGATTAGTCCGATTCAAAGTCATTTCGCATTTTTCGCAGCCCAGCTGACCGGCCCATGAAAATAGTATTAACGTGTTCTAATAATTCCATTACAATGGGTTAGAAAGACTTTTACTATTTGATTAATGATTTACTATCGCATTAATAGTGCACAACATCTAATGAAGATGTAATTGTTTTTGCTGCTTAATTATATGCAATTAGATCTACACATATACAAATCATGTGGTGATGAATTAGGCGTTGCATATCTTTGATGGCAACTGAGAAAGTAAGTCTATACAGTATACACGCGGATAAAATTGATCAATAGAATAGAAGGCTACTCCCTTTCTTTACCGACTTCATCACCATTAGAGAAAAGAGATGGCGCCCAATAGTACATGACGTTATGATAATAAGCAAAGATGATCGATATTGAAAAATATATAAGATAATCTTGCCTCATTGTGGAATAAGACGGCAAATATTTAATAAATTATATTATGCGAGTGCCTAAGCTAACATGCTATTGGAGTCATGAAGAAATATTAACAAAACTTTTTAGAATCAATCGGGAATAAAGTCTTTCTTTAAATTCATTTCAATGTAAACTCGTATTATTGCGGATCTTATTTCTTGGTCAAAACTTCAATATTCACGTTTATTTATGCTTAATACCGTGAGCTACGATATACTCTCGTTATCAATAACTACCATGCTTGTGTAAAACCTCATGAGAAAAACAAGGCACTCCTTGCATGGATTTCGATCTAAATTCATATTTTTATAGGTCTTATTTCATGCCAACACTCAAATGTTAGCAATAGTTAAACATTCATATAGATAAATTAGCTCTTGCTATCAATAACTACTATACTTGCGTAAGACGTCATGAGAAAAATAAGGTGCTCTTTGTATGGATTTCGATCTAAATTTATATTTTTATAGGCCCTTCATGCCAACACTTAAAACTTAGCAATAGCTAAACATTCATGCAGATAAATTAACTCGGTCCTGTAGCATAGTAAATAGTCCTACAGTAGAACCAAAGAAGAAAGAAAACTGTCCTTGCTATGAATTTCGCTCTAGTGTCATTTAATTTTATTGCAGGTCTTATTTCATAGTCTAAATTCAAAACAGCTACAATCTCCATATGAAAACGTTCCCTCTACTTTATCGTCAATAATAGTATTGTAGAACCAAGTGAGAAAGAAACCTTTTTATAAAGATCGATTCCGATCTAAACTCATTTTACTTTATTACAGACCTTATTTCATAGTCTAAATACAAAACAGCTACAATCGCTCTATGAAAACGTTAGTTCTGTTCTATGGTCAATAATACTATTGTAGAGCCAAGTGAGGAAGAAACCTTTTCGTAAGATCACCTTCATTCTAAATTCATTTTACTTTATTACAGACCTTATATCATAATCCAAGCTCAAAACGGCCAAATTATCGGCATGGATACATTAGTTCTGTTCTATCGTCAATAATGCTACTGTTAAAACAAGTGAGAAAGACAGCTATTCTTATGCTATAAATTCGTATGGAATAAATCCATATTATGTAAACTCTTTAGCTCAATTCTAACCACGCTTAAGATCCAGGCTTTCAACGAACGCATAGACCTTGCCCCTTACAGCCAATAACAAACAATACACCCAGCACTTAAAGAAGCCTTTCATAGAATTAAATTCTACCTGGCGAGACAAATAACTGGTAATTATTATTATGTTAACGATGGTAAAACAATCAAGAACAAAGCTCCGATCGATCTTTCTTTAAAAAAAAATCTACTCGGGTCTGATGAGAGAATTGATTGCATATACTGTTAGTCATTTTAATTATACATGGCAGCATTCTATCATTATTACATCTGATCACGACAACAAAAGTACAGGATACCTTCTGATGGACATTGAATATATATACAAAAAGAAATGGATAATTAATGTTCCATCGTGCATTTTTTTTTTCTCTTTCTTCTCTACTTTAGATTGTTCTCTTCATGATTAGCTGAGTTTATTCACTATAGGGGCATAACCTTTTAGCCTACACTTACCATGGCCATCAATGTATTAACTCATTTATTCTTTAAACCTAGTCATTCTATAAAGATTAACAATTGTCTATTACATTAAATTACTAAATTAAAAGACATACAACAATCTCGCTAATTTTATGGCCTATGTATTCAAATTAGCGTTCTCATTTAGAGCAAGAGACAGGGTAATTAACGGATCCAATTATTGGAATTTTTCTGACATCAATTGTATTCTATTTCATTTTATTATCCTGGTATACTTTCAACACATTTTTAATCCAAAACGGGCAAATAAGAACTAACAACATCGAATCATTTGACTCAATTGATACTCAGACAACTGGGGAAAAAAGACACACATTAATATTTTACCAATCACTTGTTGAACTGGTTCAAGATGCCATTTGGTTTTGGTAAAAAATCGAACAAAAAGAAAGGTAATAAATAAATTTCTTTCTCACTTTTTACAACGTTAAAACTTATCATTCAAGCTAGAAATCAATGTAAGTTAATAAGAACGTTCCTATAAGCTTTATGAAAATCCTAAATGAGCTGCTAAATTTTTCTCATCAAAAATAAAATGAATCTTGTGAGAGTCAATATCAAATCATTCGATAATTTCCTCCCCCCAAAATTGAGTCAAGACAGTGAGCATCTTTAGAGCTGAACTATTACTCGTATTACAGCCATCTTATCCTTAAAAAAAACTCTAATTCAATTTAGATGTAGTTTCCTTGATACTAATAATGAAGATGAGATTAAAGGCCAGAAAGGGGGCGTTAAAATTTTAAAAGTTTTTTAATCTTTTTAGCACTACGATCTATTTCTTATTCTACTTTTTTTTTGCGTACTCTACACTTCCGTCCTTGCGTGGACGGGTTATCTGTCGAAAGGAAAATGAGTATAGATAAACCGATGTTTTACCTTATTTATAACTACCGATATGGAAGTAAAATCGAGCTGTAGCCATGAAAACATCCAATGGCAAATCTACCGTCACCATTGGCCGTGCTAATATTACTATTTGTAACACCCACGGGCCATGACAAGGATAAACTCATCTAGAGTTTCATAATAGCTAGGCTTAACTTTATTTGTTCATTTCTAGTAAAAATTTCCCTGAACAAACTCTCATATCGTCCATTAGGACCACTTGCAGCCACTCACAATCAACATATTCCAGTTAATTTTACTGATCAACAGTAAAAAACGCCTGTAAAAAGGACGGTATAGGCCATACAAAATCACAGAACTTTATGATAATCCTCACTGTGCCTATTCATTTGAGTTAACAGATTGCTCTAAATTTTAACTTTTTTCAAATCTAAAATGTTTTCTTCTACATTTTAACGGTTAAACAACAATTAATCAATCCATCGAAGTCTCCATCCTTTTATTTTATCTTACATCTTAAATATTTATCGTACATTTTATCAACAAGAGAGTAGACAATAACATCCAAACTCTGGCTAGTAATGTAATGAAGGAACTCATTAGAATAGCCATCTTCACATTTTGGATTATTACTCAATTTTCGTCTACAAGAAATACTGTAAATTCAATTTACACCTTGCTACTTGAATGCTTACATTTAAAATGAATTCATAAAAATCTTTTCTCGCCTGTTGATTTCACTATTCAGTTTGGCAAGGTAGATAAACAGTTTACCTGAATTTGGAATTGATGAAATTCTGTGAAATTCTTGTAACGTTAGCGAGATTAAGGGTTAATTTAAATAACTGTTGGCGGTAGTATAGGAGATCCTACAGTAAAGTAGTAGCTATGCTGCATTTGGAAAGATAGATGAAGATATACGGCATAATGGTGTTAGTAGAAGCTCCTACTGTATTAATTAAGAAACGATAGTAACTTGTAAGATGGTAGATGATATTCTGCCAGTTGCATATAGAGTGAGGTCTTTCTGTAATTGGTTAGTTCTTATCCTCTGTTAACACTGGACTCTCAATCAATTTGCAATAAAAGTTATTCCCAAGCTAAAAGCTATTACTATCCGCGGACATTTTCTTTGAATTAGAATTTTATGGCAAATTTTATAGTATTGTTCAGCTGAGATTAGCTTTCAATTGCAAATTAAATTACATTTGCGACAATCTAATCCAATTTAACGCCCATTGTAGATAAAGTGCAAGTATTCCATAAAGAAGTTCTTGCTGTCCATAATGAGCTACGAGCAAATCATGCAGCACCTGCTCTTAAATGGTCTGAGAAATGTGCACGATCAGCCCAAGTATGGGCTGATCAATTAGCCAAAATGGGACGTTTACAACACAAAGTGGAAGACAACATGGGCCAAAATTTAGCCTTTGTATACAGCTCAGATGGTAAAAATGTTACTGGTGAACAAATTGTCAATATGTGGTATGATGAAATTAAGGACTACAACTTCAAGAATGCTACATTTTCATCGGGTACTGGCCATTTTACTCAAGTGGTTTGGGTTGGAAGCAAAGAAGTTGGTGTTGGTATTAGTTCAACACCCGATGGCAAAGTATTTGTTGTTGCTAATTACTTGCCAGCAGGGAACATGATGGGGCAATTCGCTGAAAATGTTAATCCTCCTCAATCAGCACATGGTGGTCAAGGTCGTAGCAAAAGTAAATTCAGCAAGGGAAAACAACCGTCAGCGTCATCATCATCCGATACTGGTAGCTCTCCCCTGCTATTATATTAGCCTATTTCATTCTAATTTTATATTCAGCAATTGATTCAATCTATTAATTAGCTTTCTCTATACTCTTTATATTCAACAATCAGCTATAATTAATTATGACTAGAATTTAAGTAAATGGCTGATGTCAGACTAACCTAAATTTGTAATTTAGGAGCAGGAGCTAAATCAAAAGATCCCAAGAGAAGAGCTAGTGTTCGTTGTGTTGGTAAGTTATCATTGCTGTCACTTCCACATTTATTTTCAAGGACAAATTATGAAACTATTAATACTCTATTTTTGATCAAATTTCATAAAACGTCTATAATAATCCAAACTACTATGCATATACGCGTATTACTATTGCGATTGGCAGTGTAAGATCTGTTTAGCTCTTTCCTACTCTTTAGAGCAAATTAACAACAAATGGCATGGAAAATGAGCAACTGAGTTATCGAAATAGTTTTCACGTTCATTGAACACTTGAAATTCGAAGAAAAATACTCTTTGTGTAGCTAACTAAAATTGAATCGTGAACCCTGCTAATAATTTTGCGTATAACTTCAATTTCAAAAAATTGGCGAGCGATTGAATCAGTGTAATAGTTTCTGATATCACTTATGATATGGAGTAAAATAAAAATATTCTTTAAGCAGTTAAATCCAGTCGTGGATGTCGATAGCAACTATATTTCTACTTGTACTTCTGAAAGTAGGCGAGAAAAACAACTTGTATCTAACATGAAATCCATCAGTTGCCTTACCTGTTTTCCTTTCAAAATTTAGCTATATTGATAGTTCAGGCTATCCTAATCGAGATCGTTATGGAATTAAAAACATAGGCAGTATTTATATGTTACGCTTAATATAACCAATCTTAATCTTTTAAATCTTCCAAATCTTATCCTAATCGTTGCTATTTTGCATTATTTAGCTAACGCCAATTTGACTGAATTTCAGTCAGAAATGTTGATTGTCCACAATGAAATGCGAGAAAGACATCGCTCATCGGCGCTAAAATGGTCTGATTCTTGTGCTACAAGTGCTCAAGAATGGGCTGATCAATTAGCAAGAATGGGTAAACTACAACATAAAACCGAAGGCGATATGGGTCAGAATTTAGCCTATATGAAAACATCGTTGGGAAATCAAGGAGATATCAAAGCAGAAGAGATTGCCAACATGTGGTACAACGAAGTGAAAGACTATAATTATAAAAAGGCAGAATTTCAACCTTCAACTGGCCATTTTACTCAACTAGTCTGGGCAGAGACGGAATTTGTTGGTGTAGGCATAGCTTCTACTGCTGACGGTAGAGTATTTATTGTGGCTAATTATTCTCCAGCTGGCAATGTACAAGGTAAATATGGCATTAATGTGAAAAAACCGCGTGGTAAATCGAAATTCAAAAAGCTGTTTGCAAGAAAAAATAAAGGAACTAATGTTACAGGTAATATCCTTTTACAGTCGTAAATGAGCTTTAGTTGAATAAAAATTAAGATACAGTATAATAAATGACAGAGAAGTAAAACTATAGAACGAATTAGAATTAATTTTTATCAACGTTTATCCTTGCCTGAGAAATAAGTATCTCATTTTAAGCAATTTTAACTAGTAGTTATCCTTTAAATATGATCTATAACGGTAAATGATAGGAATTAAAATTACACAAAAATTGAGAATTAATTCTTAGAAATTACTATGTTAGCGTGAATAATCAAAATCTAATTTTTAGGTATTGTTAACTATATTGATTTTTAAAGATGATCATTGCAACAAATGATAAGAAATAAAAATGAAGAAAAGTTTACAATTAATTTGATCTATTTCTAGCCGTACCTATGAAATGAAGATTAACTATATGGTGAGCTATTTTAATGAGTATTTCTTTTGATTTAGGTATTACCTCACAAAATGATGGCGCTTCAGCAAAATCGAAACGAAAAGGTAGCGAGTAATGCTAGCTACATATTAGTTTAACATTGATATTTTTGACATAATATTTGACGTAGTAAATGATCTCAAATTCTAGCATATTAAGCTTTTCGGTAGTCTTCAATGATTAGACAAGTCAAATACCAAATTCTTTTCAACTTATTTTGCATTGTTGGACTTCTGTACTCGTATAGGCCGTAAAGCCAAGGCAACTTCAAGAGGCATAGGTAAAACTAGACACTAATTCAGTTTTCGTTTACGTTCATTGCAATATTAAGAAGCTGCTTGCAATTTTGAAATAAATAATTAATGTCATGATATATTGCTTTACCGCAGCTAACGAAAATTTATCGCCATTCCTATCCGATGTCTTGATGGCTCATAATGACTTCCGTAGTAAACATGGAGCTCAGCCTCTAGGATGGTCATCGCGTTGTGCAGACACAGCCCAAGCTTGGGCAGATCAGTTGGTAAAAATGGGTAGATTGCAGCATAAGAAGGAAGATAACATGGGGCAAAATTTAGCTTATAAATTTACCTCTAACCCTGATTCAGTTACGGGCCAAGAAATGGTTCAGATGTGGTATGATGAAATTAAAAACTATAACTTTAAAGCCGCAAAATTTGGTATGAATACTGGCCATTTTACGCAATTGGTTTGGGCAGATACGGTCGAAATGGGAGCTGGTGTGGCACAGTCAGCAGATGGCCAGATTTACCTTGTTGCTAATTATTCGCCACCTGGCAATGTAATGGGGAAATTTAAAGAAAACGTTTACCCAGTAGGGACTAAAAATCCTAAGAAGTTTAAGAAATCCCTTGCAAAAAAGGCTGCTAATTCTGTTCGAGATAAAGCAAGAAGAAAACCAGGTTAGTAAAGTAATAATCGTTTTTTATTCGATTTATAGCTCCTTCCATTCCTTTGATAGTTTGCAATTTGATCACATCCACTATCGGTACGTATCGATTTTTTACCTTTTCTGATCTAAAATAGATCATGCAGAAAGCGTTAGAATCGGAATTTATGCTAAAATGTTACCGTAGTTGTAGTTTTGAAGAACTTATACCTAAGAATACTTGCGATATTTCATCTATTTAATCTACATCTCGCAGCGTTCAATTATTATGCATAGAGGTCGCCTACCGTGTGATTTCACCTAGACTTCATAATCAATTTCTAATAGGTGCAATTAATGAGAAGAAACTTGGCAGTTTCAAAGATGTCAGTCTTGATGCACATAATAACTACAGAGCTAAGCATGGAGCTCCACCATTAAAATGGTCAAAGGAATGCACTACACATGCTAAAAAATGGGCAGATTATCTAGCCAAAAATAAGAAATTTGAACACAGCCACCAAAAAGGCTTCGGGGAAAATTTAGCATGTTTTATGGGTTCCGCTCAAAAAGAAATTACCGGACATGAAGCGGTCGATATGTGGTATGATGAAATTAAAGATTACAATTTCCGCCGCGCAACCTTTACCCCGGGTACTGGCCATTTTACACAAGTGGTTTGGCGTGAAACTACCGAAGTTGGTGTTGCAATGGCCAAAGGTAAAAATAATTATACCGTAGTGGTGGCAAACTATAAACCTGCAGGCAATATGATGGGTAAATTTAAAGAAAATGTTTTACCTCCTAACTAAATACTTATCATTATTCCACGTATTGCAATTTATTTCACTTTATGTACTTTGACTTTAAATATAATTAACTACGTAAACACTGCAGTCCATTTCATTAACGTAAGTTATCAATAATTGATTTCATGCTCCTATGATTATAATTAAATTGTTGGGTATAATTGTTTGTTACCTTCGATATCAGCCTCTAAAATTTTAAATTAGTTGGACTACAATTCAACTAATGGACTCTTAAACCTTTATTTCTATAGTAATTTAAAACTTGGTTATGTGTATATTTTACAAGCATGATATACCGTGTATTTAATATTTTAAAATTATTGATCCTATCAAAGAATTGCGATGCCTGCACATCTGTCGATTTTATTACTAAAATTACAAACGTATATCAATAAAGTTCTTTCTCTTATGCATATACTTTCCATGACGGTAGTCTAATCACTGTCAAAGACGAAAATCAATCACTACTATAGAGATAAATCTTTAAATATATACAAGAACTGTATATACAAATTCATGTAAGTGATCTTTTGAGGGTTTACAGTCTGATTTAAAATTCGATCATATGTTCCAATAGATAGGGGAATTACTGTCCAAAAATGTTGGCCTACCATCTATAAAGCCTCTCTAACTCTGAATATGAATTATCTACAACTTCCATTATTAACATTCTTAAAAAATAAACAATACAGCCGTATGTAACAGATAGATCAGCCGTAAGCAAAGATCATAATGTCAGCTGATTTAATAAAATAGGACATTTCTTACTGAAATCTTTAAGACTTCTTCAAGATTACGTTACTAAGCTACGTAATTCTATCAAAGATAACTACAAACTCCAAGTTGTTTTTAGTTATCAAAGAACGTGCTATATTAAGCGAGGTAATACTTAATTCATATCGCAATTATTTAGCTCTTGAAATGTTCGGACATATTCACAACTACTTTATACCCCGATGAGACATTTTAATACAGTACTAATCAACTATTGGGCATAGAAGCTGCTAGTTACCTTACTTTATGGACATAATATACGCACTATATACAGATGCGAATTTTAATTGTGAATAACTATTGTTGACTTTATGATAATTAACCACTAAAGTCTACAATAATATCACCTTGATAAAACAAAATTTTGATGCTAGCTCCCGTGCTAACATAACATCAGTGTAACAAATGTATAGAAGACTCTAAGCCAAAAAAGATTTTTGCAAATTATACAGTCAATAAGTGTAAAAATGTAATGCCTCAGTTGTTCAACATACAACAATTAGTATTAAGAACATTGGCATCAGTAGCTCGAAGAGGAGAATTTATCATTATTTCTTGTTCAACGGTGGACCTTTCATTGTTAGCGTTAATGATATTAATGGTCTGATGAATACTTGGCACTCTATTTCCTTCGATTATTTCATCACTTGTTGATTGATTCGCATGATTATTTATATTTTGCATTACAACCGGTTCATTTCTACTTAAAACGTGACAGGGATGGACCTTCAAGATCGATGTACCATCATTGGACACATCCAAATCCGAAATATCTACAAAATTGGTAACGAAAAAATCTGTTATAATTACATTTATCCAATGTTTGTTCGTGCAATCTTTACATATCACATTTACCGATCTGTCGAATATCATCACGTTGATGGGTTAAACTAGCAGCTGTGGCAGACGTTACAGACATTAAATTATCATCAGATAGCGAATCCTCAGATTGCTGACCATTTGTAATTGAATCTATACCATCATCGACAGTCATATTTCCATAAGTTTCGTCGTTGACAACCAGATTTACATTAGGAACCTCAATAGGGATTTCATCTGTAGCAACAGTTTGGTATATGGACGGGCTAGTAACTACAGGCGTGTCAGCATAAGATGTTACAGAGCCGTAACTTCCAAGTCTCAGTTTTTTGCTAACTTCACAGCATGATTCTCCATTACTATGAGCTTGGCGTTTATGCATGGCTAGTGTGGACGTCTGACGATATGTTTTGTTGCAAAATTTGCATGTATACGGCTTGGAATGTGTATGAACAACGTGATGTTTATACAAGCTAGAATATTCAGTGAAGCGTTTGCAACATCCAGGGTAGGTACAACAGTATGGACGTTCACCTAGGTAATGTTTATACAGGTTATATAGGTTAGTTGTATATCATAAAATTTTACTAACTACTATTCATTACCTGTATGAATTCTCATATGGTTTTTAAAGTTAGTAGCACTTGCGAACGCTCGATTACAACCTTGCACTTGACATATATATGGCCTCTCTCCTGTATGGGTTCGCATATGTACCTTTCTGATATTAGAAGTGGTAAAACTTCGACCGCATCCCTCAAAAGGACATTTAAATGGCCTTTCACCTAAGTAATAGAGAGTAGCTCGTGTGACCAAATGCGATTATCTATCAATTAGATATAATTCTGCTTAAACGTATTCAACATCACAACTTTTGATACGCTATTAATGGTATGAAGTGTCTACAGATATACATAGCAGTTATTAACCTGAATGTATTCGCATATGCTTAGATAAATCTCCAGATGTCTTGAAAGCTTTCTCACAGGATTTGAATGTACATTTATATGGCTTTTCGCCGGTGTGAGTGCGAATATGTGATTTTAGGCCATATCCCGTTGCAAAAGCTTTGTGGCACCCGTTATATGTACACTTATATGGTTTATCTCCGGTATGGGACCTTTCGTGAACCTAATTGATACATCATATATAACTAAGGACTATAATCATTTTGTGAAATCCGCTTTTGATGGAATAACAAAAAAAGGCATACCTTTAAGTGATGGGCGGTAGTATAACTCCGACCACATCCTTCAAATTTACATCTGTACGGTTTTTCTCCAGTATGAGTTCTACAGTGTTTCTGTAAATCACTTGGTGTAATAAACGCCTTAGTACATCCAGTTTGTTCGCACTTGAACGTATCGCCTGTATGAGCCCGATTATGAGCTTTAAGTCGATACGGTGTAGAGAACGCTTTCTCGCAACCGTCATAATGGCACTGATAACCTTTCTTCGGACTATTCGGTGAAATGTTATCAGATAGAGTCATCACTATATCATAATAATGCTACATTAGCGATACAATCACATAGAATAGCAACCAGCGATTTAATCTTAAATAATTTTTGAACGAACCTGATATATTCCTCCCATCAGTTACTGTTCCAGTAAGCGCAGAGATTGCCACTGAAGTAGGTAGTTCTTCATGCACTGATACAGATAGATGCCCCAAAGGATTAGTAATATCAGAAGAATTTGAATTCCGATTACTTAAATGCGAAGAAATTTGATGCATTCGATGATCGCTACAAAGTATACAAATTTTCATTAATAAGAACATTACGTAAGACAGTACTGTATAATTTATATTCAAATCAATTACGTCGATACAACAATCTTAGACTTACTCATATCCTCCATCGGTAGGAATCATCAGATCACTATTAGCATCGACGTTATTATCTCTATATCGATTAGACTGTTGAGATAGAAGATCTGTTTGCTGTCTTTCCGCTAATTGATCAATACTAGGATAACGATGAAACCATTTTAGAAAAGATGATATTCTATATCTTAAACTACAATAAAAGTTATTGAGGTATATTTAAAATAATGATATATCGTACCTAAATTGCTGATCGTCAACATCTGCCTGGCTTAAATAAACTGTACCGTCGTTGTCATTATTCGGATTTGATGCAGCTATAACCTGTTGATCAACGAAATTTAAAACCTCGGATTGATCCTATAATAAAGTATTTGAATGACAAATGCAATTAGCGACGGTCAGTAGTATAGTATTTGTATCAAAACCATCTATATCAACACGCACTGTCATTCTTTAATAATAGCTAATTACAAAATAGACGCCTTTAAATGCCAATCAAGCAATATTAAAATCATTTCATAAGGAGATCCGATACTTTGTTTTCAATGAATAAAAGGTATACAAATATGCGCGTATCTATACTTCGTACATATAAATATACGTCTTACTCAGTAGCCATATATACGCCTATAATCAATATTTATACAAATGTATATCAGAGCGATGCATCCATTACCTGCTGGTTGAGAACATCATTTTGATCAGCCTGGGAACAAACATATTTATTCTGATTATTTTCATAATCCTGTCGCGAATATAAAATACTCATAACTTGATCTTCAGATGATTGCGCTATACAATACGATAAAAAGGATTCATTTTAATGGATAGTGGTTGAAAGTTCGTTGTAGTCATCCAAATGTTATACGCATCGTTACCAAAATAAATTGCAAGATAATCATGACTACTGTCCATTATAACAACGTTACAAAGAAGTGCTAAGTTATCAAGATATTTACCGCTAATACTGCTCATGCTTGATGATGAGCCTTTCGTATCAGGTGTCATGGATATTCGTGACATGATTTAATTTCTCTACTGGCTATGGGATAGTAATGCGGTATGTACATAAGTTCAAGCAATCACCATTATTTTTATCATTTTTAGTTAGGTTACATATCAAGAGTAGCCAAATAACTATGCACAAGTTCACACAGATTGTATTATAATTCACAACATTGATCTAGTCCAGTCTAAACTATACGTAAGAGACAGCGATCCGCATATATTACGGAATGCATAAGCAATGTACGCCGCCATTTATTGCAAGTGGTTCTAGATTATAAGTTCAGAGTTTATTCTTTTTTATAAAATATCACAAACGACAAAATTCTACTAAATAGAAGACTAATACGCAACGACAGTGATGATATTGTTTGAGTTAATATAGTGCCAGAAATTTCTCGATGATAACTGGTTTTGGTAATAAGTTATTCATAGTAATGTCATGGTTTCAACATACAAGGCATCATTTGCAACGACTGTCGATGTTAACATATCACGATATCAATAGTCGCAACACTATTTTCAATTCACTTGGATAACAAAATGGACGTTCATTGTAAGCAGTACTGTGCAGTAACTACAATATTCTACTCAGTAAACTAAGAACGTAAGCTCGATATCAAGAGCAAGAGGTTCAACAAGTTATCCTAGTTACACATAAATTCACACTGCTACTGAATTAGTTGATTTACTCAAGTCGATTTTTCGGACTTTCCACTTCTTTAATTCCACTGCAAAAGCGTACTCTGGAATCCTGTGCTGTTATTATTTCAACTTTAGGTAGCGACTGTACACTAAAGCTGAAAGAGTTTACAAAAAGACAGACATTGCTGTGTAGAAATCTGCTCAACCAGGTAGCAGATTCGATCGTCGACTCATATTTGAAAAGAGAAACAGTAGGGTGCATCATTCAATGACACAGGCAGCGCCTTACCGCCAAGTAATTCTATGCGGTCTATATTGATAGTAAAGTACAGTATGCAGAAAAATGTTGCGGGCCTCTTTTACAGTACAGTGTAGTGTAGCCACGATACTTTTCACCGTGTTTTTACAGTACTGTACACTGTGCAGCACTCAATCTAGAACTCGAACGGACAAGTGTTGACGATTACTCATATTCTCACTCAGCGTAAACAGCTTAAACGATGACATATTATCCTTCTAAGAGTCTAGTCACTACAGAATAGTACAGCGTGTTGGCAAGTCTCCAAAAAATTGGCTGAAAAATAGACAGCATCTACGGTACTGCACATGCTGGTATAAAGTATTTGTACATCAGTTGAAGTCACAATTTTTCCATTTTTATTGATGATTAACACACAGTTCTGTACTGTACGCTGGAAAAGCCACCAAGTACAGTACAGTACCGTCTATCGCTGAACGGAACGGATAGAGAGTGTGTAGTTACTGGTAGAAAATACACTACTAATATTCGCTGCAAGTTCGTTTTCGATGATGAACTCTGATATTACTGTACTGTACTGTATAGTGTACAGCAGGGATATGCGAAGTCAACCCGAAGTCCGATTTCAATCTGACTCGAGGGCGGGATTCGGGTTAAGAATTTCCGTGGTGATACAGTGCTTGTACATGATAGTGATAGCACTCATTTCGGGTTAGAAAATCAACCACTGGATCAGGTTTTATCGTGTTCGGGTTGCCTTTTCACTCCCGCTGTACATTGTACAACACTGCTGTATTGTATACTGTACTGCAATGTGCATGCGCAGTCTCGTCCGTTCCAGCAAGAACACGTAACACTACGATAAATGGAGCTCGACAGTTCATCCGCTGCTGCGTTTTCCACACTTTTTTTTCGTTCAAATGTATTTCAAGTTCTACGAATTTGGATGACTAGACGTACTAGAAAATATTCTGTGCAAAGTTAATTTTGTAATGACTAGAAATACGGTAATCAGTACTGTATGACGTTGTTTTTTTAGCAGAGTTTACATCTAGTCTAGCTATCTAGCCACTTTTATTATTATTATTGATATCTAAAATCGTCAATGTACTGTACACAGATCGTACAGTAATCCATGAATGATGGATGAATTTATAACCAGGCAGTGTATCATATTGACTGTCTAAGTGTCTATGCGTTATCAACCTCCATAATGAACAATCCATTACGATACAATCTGCTTTAAACAAGCTTAACGACTAAAACTAAGTCGCCACCAAATTGACGCTTGTATCAGTCGAAATCAAATCAATATTAATTAATTCCAAGGACTACATGTGTAAAAGCGAGAATGAATCAATCACCATGCAGTAATTTAGTAACTAACAAGAGAGTAACACGACAGTCATATTGGATTCAATAAAAGACAGATAAAAGTGAAGTGATAGCGATTTGAGTAATCTCAGGTACTCGAATTAAATACGAATGTCATGAATCCGCTAAAGTACCTCAAAGTGATCTGGCCATTCAAAGCAGTAGGATCGGTAAATAATAACCAACAGAAGGGAATGATGGGAAAAAAGAGCAGAACCACGGGAACGTGAAGAGAAGAACCACGGGAAGGAAAAAGAGAAGAACCACGGGAAGGTAGCGCGGTTGAGCTAACTGCTTGAAATGTACTGTACTGTATTCTGACTGTAGGCTAAATGCTGTGTCACGATAGACTGCTACAGTACTGTACTGTACTGCACACTCAGTCGAGTACAGACACTACTCTACAATACAGTACAGTACACTGTACTCCAGCCATGTACAGTACCAAGACCCTACAGTCCATCGGTATCAGGTTGACAGGAGATGCGCTGGCATCAGTTCTAGTTCTAGTGTATTGTAGTCTAGCATAATTTTAAGGTCGTGGTTTGTGTAGCAGCTTGAAATGTACTGTATACAGTAGTACAGTACAGTACTGTACAGTAATGCTGTGTCATGATACAGTACTGTACAGTGTACAGTAGTGTACAGTATGTACTGTACATTTGTACAGTATGAAGTTCTATTGTACAGTACTGTACTGTACTGTACTGTACTGTACTGTACACTGTTCAGTACTGTACTGTACAGTACTGTACGTAGTTTTAAAGTACAGTACTGTACACTTTATAATACAGTACTGTACAGTACTGGGTACAGTGGTCTGTAATTACTTACTGTACTGTACTGTACTGTACAGTACAGTACAGTACTCACTGCAAGGGTACAGTACTGTACAGTACTAGGGTCTCTAATGTACTGTACACTAATGTGTACTGTACAGAAAAACTTTTTCTTCGTTTGCACATGTGCAATAAGGGTCACTCATAATGTGGATCGCTATGATCACGTGTCTCAAATACTGAGTGCACAGTACAGTGTACTGTACAGCACAGATGCAATGTTGTACTGTACTGTACAGTACAGTACAGTACTGTACGGTACATAATAAAGGACGTCCTGTAGTGTACAGTACTGTACAGTACTGTACAATGTACTGTACAGTACAATGTAAAGAAAAAAAATTTTTTCTTCGTTTTCACATGTGCATTTAAGGGTCACTCATAATGTGGATCGCGATGATCACGTGCCTCAAATACTGAATACACTGTACAGTACAGTACAGTATCGTACAGTATCGTTTATATTGTACGTACTGTACACTGTATAGTACAGTACAGAATGAACTCATAGCACAGAACAAAGGACAGTACTGTGCAGTACTGTCCAAAAACGAGTGCTGTACCAGTACAGTACTGTACTAAATGTGAATGAATAAGGGACTACTGACGAGAGAATATCGTGTAGTGATGTAGTGATGGCATCACAGACGGACGAGGCCCCGACTCAACTCATGCCACTACGGTACAGTGTACAGTGTACAGTACTGATCGTCCTCGTAAGACTGTACACTGTACAGTCCTTGCACTGTACAACTTGTGAGAAACATCCAGCGACTACCGGTGGTCAAAGTGGTCAAATTATCCAATTGGAATCGTCATCACTCACCAACATCCAATGCAATATCTGCTATTCCATTGTATTTCCAATCCGACCTAGAAAAAGTGGACTTCATTCCTGCTTGTAGTTAATTCATCCAAAGCATGGTTATACTGGATAGGCTACTGATTACTGTAGATTGTACAGAACAAATTACTTGGTACAATAATAACAAGTGAATGCAAGAATATTGAATCATTTCTACCTACAAGACGACGGATTAAGGCGGATAAAGATGCAAAAACGCCAATATAAAAGCAATCGTAGAAAGATTTTGCAGCTAGATCCCGGATCAGACAAGATCGATGGTTAGTTGTAGTTGTCAGTATTGAAATTTAATGATGCCCCATATAATACGACCAATAGTCACTATTCAGTCATTATAAATACCATATGAATGGAGCCTACTACTAATGTTCTCGCATGACAATGAATTGTGATCGTGACACCTTCACCAGTAGTAATCAATGGCGAGCTCTATTTCTCTTTGTTGACGATACAGTATAGCACTCCACTATCCATGATCAATTAAATATGCAATACCATTACTATCAATACATTCGTAGAAATGAAGTACTTGTACAAGTCAACAAGTTCGATTTGAGATGATAGATACATCCTAAGGTGGGATAAAATCAATCACTAATTGATATCTACCATATATATCACACAGCCAATTCATCAATATCTGCTATGGATGCAACCTTAGAGATAGAAGAAACCAATATTGCCGGTCTTGTTAGCTATGAAGACAGTGATGAAGGTAACTATGCATAATATCACTACTATTTCTAAATTGTAATCAAGGTAATTGCAACCATATTGAGAGAGCTTGGTATAAATTGGAGTAATGACGTTCAGCCTGCACTAAAATACTAAACGTTGTACTTTGCACTACTAAATACATGAACTGAATGATGATGATATACAGTTGTAGTCCTATATTACATGATAACTTTTTAGTAAGTACACGGGCATATTGGTCTATAGCAAAGACTACAGGCGTTTTCGATCAAATTACTGGACAAGTTTATCAGTAATTGAAATGCACTTTCGTCATCACTCATCGTCGTTTATTATGCATCTTATGCATAGAGGTAAAATCAAGCAATAAGAAGCCCCTTATCAAGCAGCCGGAGCGTAAAGATCAAATTGCACAAGAAGTTGCCAGCTTTATGCTTGTAAGTCGCGCATTTTATAAACTAATATAGTAATGCATTTTGCCTAACTAGAAGAGTAGTCTTAGCTAATGTTGATATTCATTCTGAAAACTTATTACGTTATCTCACCCAACAGTCATGTTATTCTGCTAACTGTAAAAGCAAAGTACTATAATATAATATATTTGTACGCCAATGATCTTGATCAATATAAGAGTATCTCATTCGCTGTAATAAACTAACCCAATAATAGCATTAGAACGTTAATCAATATAACTTTAACATGAACAAGCAACATCTTAAGCGCAAGATTTCACGCTAGTAGCAATAGAATAATCTTTTGTGATACGTGAACGAACAAAACAATACAATTTGATCGATGTTGTCATAGAAAGACTATAAAGTTTTTGTTGAAGTAAGGAACTATTAGAATTGTTTGTTAATCAAGATCACAAAAATTACCCTAAGTATATTTGTAAATCATTTAGCTCATTAAAAATGAGGACTGCAATATAATGATAATATCTTATTGATATTCTTAGGAAATAGATGCAATGGAGCAAGATACCAGTGATGATCAAAATCTCAGGGCCACGCAGCCACCTAAATCGACTGAAATTATATCTACATCTTTCCGAAGCCTTGACAAGACTGATGATAAAGCTATATGGTTAGAATGTTACGATCAGAATTCCAATAGTGTCTACTACTGGAATACTGAAAATAATAAAGTTTCATGGGTTCTACCTGAAAACGCCAAAGTACAATCCGCGTTGTCACAGCTTTATCAAGATCACGCTGACGATATAAAAGCTACTATTTCTGATAGTGATGAAATTACCGGTATAGAAGAAACAACAAATGGTAAGAATTTAATCATTTATCCGTAATTTAAACTAATACATCAATACTTAATAATTAGGAAGTACATGTTGGCTGGTAATTCTTATGACACCTATATATTAATATTCCTTATTATGCGCACGTAATGAACCAACTGATAACATAAGTTGTACTAGGTTTTTAACAGTTAAAAATAACTAACTCTTTAATAACTGTAGCTAATCGATTAGGATGCGTTTCGCATGAATTCTATATAAAAATAACTTAATTAATAATGTATGTACATAATATGACCCATTATGAGTTGCGCCGTCTTTCACTGACATTTTAGAAAATAATGTAAACAAAGAAAGTGAAATTGATCAAGCAAGAAAGAAGCGCCCAATTCCTGATAATAATACGGTAACGTTGGAAAATGATGCTAAAAAGCGACATATAGAAGCGTGCGAAGAATCTCATTCTGACAAGGGTCTATCAAGTGATAAAATAACAGTAAGTTTCACCACAACTTCTTCGTATGTTTTGCTCGCATGATTACAAAAGTATTATTGCACAATATAGCGAATTAATTATAACATTTAAATGATTAATGGTACTCTAGGATGACATAATAGAAGCATCCTTACGACTTCGACAAAAGCTAGATGTAATGGGTGTGCAAAAACTATCCATATCTGATGCTCAAATAGCTCTAATTCAATTAGAGGTGCTGTAGCTTTAAGAAAATTTAACACGCCCTTTCAACTGCATTAAAATGCTTTTTGCGACATTTTCTATTGGTTAATGTAATAGACGAAGGCAGACTGCAAGCACTGATATAAAATCATTGATAATTGTGTTATGCAGATACGTTTCAACGATTGGCAAAAGGGTGTATTAAATGGTAAATATTTTCTGGAGAGAATTTTAGAAACCGAAAAATCCTTCCATAAACCTTACGATTTAGACAGCATAAATTCTTTAGAAGATTCGATCGAAAGTCCGGAAAATCTAGAAAAGTAAACTTTTTACGTATTACCTCTTTTACGGTTTATTATTTGAATAGTTTAACATAACGGATATATCCAACAGCAATTTAATATAATATTATGAGCCCTATATTGAACGATGCAATTGCTTACAAGAAGTCACTGGTATTCTAATGTAGACAAGAGATAGTCGAGGAAGAACCTGGTTTAGAAGCTGCAGATCAGCATCCTGACGATAGCCAAGAATGCACCCCCCACACTCCTGACATTTCGAGTGGTATATAGCATGAGTGAAAATTTATAGTTAAAATAACAAAGTGAACGATGTTGTCAACTTAACAGATTGTATAACTGATACTGTACAACGCAATTACAGTTGAAGAAGGTGAAATTATCGACAGCCCGCCGTCAAGCGAGACTACCGTAACAGAAGAGACTTACAAGTACTAATAAAAGATAACACATATTTCGATGATAAATTTTTAGTCACAGCGTGAGATTAATTTTGTATTCACTTTGTTGTATAGTACCAAGGATGTGTCAGATAGCGTACATGACAGCCTTCCGCCCGATTCTGAAGACACTACAAATGTCAATACCGACGAAAGCGTTAGTATCAATCAACTTGCTTATCCTATCTTTCCATTAAACAGGCCAAGCTGAAGCTTTTGATCCTTAAATTAAACCATACTAAGTTTACTTATAAATGGAGCAGCTATTTATCGTAACTGTTATCTCATATTAATAGTGTTACTTTCAATTTCAGAAACGTACTGAATCGCCGGTAGCGCCGAAGAAAAAAGTACGTGTAACGTGCATTTCTTATTACTGTTCTTCACTGGCTTTATTGATCTTTAATTCGATCAATTGATAGCATCAATTATTATCCTTGTTAAAGGCGAAGAAAAAATTTACTAGTTCATCCATATCGTTTAAAAAGAAAAATATGGCTTCCTTAGTGAGCAAATGGCAGTCTATTCGCAGCAGTTCCAAGAAGTAGGATAAAATGGATACGCGATTTATCAGTCTTCAGGTGTCAAACACTATGACGGACATGCTTAACTAGGATCATAGAAGCTACCTTTACCACTTCAAGCTGCATTATATTTCGTTTATGTGCACTAAATTTAACATTATACATAGTACACAAAATGCTATATTCATAAACTATTTGAATTAAGAAAAAGATGTAATTGATGCGCCTATTTTTGGAAATGTCATTCGGTAATGATATACTCTTAATCGTAAATACTACCTTGAAGACGCAATTGTACATTTTCACGCTTTATCGCAAAAGCTTAAAGGAAACGTAATTCTGTGAATTGAATGCGAATATTTTAATAAGCATATCGGGGTAATGTAAGATATCATTGTGAACATTATTTTTTTATTTTAAAAGCAGTTTGCAAAGTTACAGCTACGGCCTTCTTCCTTTCATGAAGAAAAGAAGAAAATTTAAATTAAATTTTGAACGCCTTATTATATCTTTCTTTCTACATTCCTAATGTTAAATACCGTTAATATATTCATCATTATAAATACTGTACAGTGCCACATTTTACAGTAAGACAAGATTATAAGTTGTAAATTAATTCAGTTGCAATATTTTCTTAATGATTGGTTTTTCCTCTGCCCTTGGTACAGGAGCTTGGTTGTATATATCTTCCTTATTCAAATAAAGCATTACCTAAATATGATTTAAGAGACCGTGGTTAAATAATATCTGCCTATGAAATTGAATAAACGATTCATGGCGTTTACTACTTTATAACGATACTCTTTAATATTTAGTATACTATGACTGTCTTATCACCAATACTCTGGTAGCATGAGAAAGCTGTTTCTACCGTTTGTTAACTAACAATCAATTTTATAAGAGCATAAATTACGTGAAACCACCGCATCCTAACTACTACGCTGAATGTTACTAATATTAGAATTAGAGCAAATTCAAGTTAAAAACCTCCTGTATTACGTTAAGTTGATCGAATGATATGAACTAAAAGCAGAGACAATGCAGTTTCAACAATCTGCCTTTTCACCTGCATTTATCTACGGATACGGATGTGTCATATATAGTCGATACATTTCATGAAAAATTTTAAGTTAAGCAAATATCGTAAATATAAAATATTACGAATGACAAGCTAGAAGATACATATAAATACGGAATAAAAATCCATTAGAACCAAGTGTTATGAATAAACTACTACCGTAAGTTAAAAGTAGTCCAGTATCAATGTATTCCGTACGGTACTTTACGCACATATTCCAGTAAAACATTAAACTATATTTACATTAAAATTAATATGAAAAAATTTACCAAATATAACCTATATGAAATCGAATTTCTGGTTATCTATGTAATATACGTGCATATTGAATAAATTATCAAAAAGATATAGCTGTCTTAGTTTTGCCTAAAAGTGCAATTGTTATTATTAGTAGGACTAATACCGTGGTTTTGTGTGTCTGAATTAGTCGTGTCTGTCTGGGTCGATGGTGAGTCAGCTTGAGTAGGTGATCGCTGGTCGATTTGTATATGTTGGTTGTCTTCTGTTTGTATTTCATTGCTTATGTAACCCTGGTTATCATGAACTGTACTTGCAGGAACTGTTGTCGTCGCTCTGGGTATATCAAGAGCATTTATATTACCAGAGCTGACTTTTCTAGAAGTAAATTCTAATTTATTTTCACCCATTTCTGCATTAATCAAGTTTCCATTTCTCTGTAATAGAAAATTGTAGATCAATATGGGAAATCACCTTGATGGTCATATGATATTCGAAACGAAGTGCTAATTTATTTGAAGTATCTATCTAAACAAACCTGTCTCATGGTTCGTTTGCTACTGGCACGAGATACGCAAAATTTAAACATGAAGAGTTCAATGATCAGAAGGATGGTAGCCAACATCAAAGCACCACCAAGAACCATGAAGATACCAGCTACATTGTTGACCCCCAATTCAACTGCATCAGCTGCAGAAGACGTTGAAGGAGGGCACTGAGTCTGCTGATCCCACCATTTTGCTCGCAGCTTTTCTGTCTCTCCTCTTTCTTGCAATTTTAAGGCAGCTAAGGTAAAGACATCTCTATATGGAGAGTTTTTCTGTAAACCTGATGATTGTAAGTACGCAATCTTAAAGTGCTTTGAATCTGCCATAGCAATTAGTACACTTATCTATACAATTATGAACTAGCTATACAAAAATTTATCACATCAACTTCCTAAGCTATTGCTCTTAATTATTAATTAGAAAAAATCGCTAGAGTAATAATGTCTAGGAGTTTGCAACTTCATACATGATCTAGCAATTTAAATAATTAATTATCATCATAAAGTATGTTACGTGCTGATTTACTAGTTAATAAATATTCATGACTTGGAATAGCAGCGTTTTGCTAACTACCTACATGTCGACAATCTCGACATATGTGTGAAACTTGTAAGCAGAAATTACCTCATCGACAATTCAGTTAACGATTATTAATTTTATCGACAGAGTAGAGAACACCGTCTTTAGTACTACTAAAATTTCGTAAACTTCATTTATGGCATAATATTTAGAAAGTTATTGCATACTTTGTCATATACAATGCCTAACAAATACGATACGTAAGCAACAGATACGGGACTATATAGTATTTGCTAGAAAGGGTACTATCAGATAAACTACCAGGTCAATTATTGATACATTTGAAACTGCTAAAGCAGGAAATGTTAAAGTCATCAATATCGAAAAATTCTTTTATAATTTAGCACTATTTTTTTAGCTAAATTACATAACCGTATACGACTTTTTAAGTGCTAATAGTAGCAATCTCATTCAAGCAATATTTCCTTAACCAAGGAAGTGCTAGACAGGAATTTTTCACGTTCATAATCTAGTCAATTACTAATACCTTACAATTGCTAAAATAGGAAATATTAGAGTAACTATTGTAATAATAAATTCTTTACTGCACCCTGTGAATAGCATAATAATATAAAACCTTAAGTACTAATTCAATACTATATAGTATCAGTATACTTCTTAGCTAAATAAAGATGGATAATTTGTATCACGATTATCTAACAATTAAAGCAATCGTTCGTACTTTTGGCTATTGATATCAGACTTACCAATACCAAAGCCGCGTAGATCAAATTTTGAACCAACTACCATAACATCGCAAGGTTTTCGCAATGCTGCATATTCTAGTTCAGGATAATACCAAATAAATGCATATTTCCCTTTACTTCGCCTGACTTTGTTTATACCAACAAGTGATGAATTAAGTAAAGAAGTCTTGCTATTTTCTAAAATATGAGACCAAGCGTTTCTGTAGACTGTTTCGGTCGATGATTTTAAAAAATCCATGGCTTCGCTATCAATCACTGTTCCATAATCGATGGCGCTTTGCTTAGTTAAATCTTGGACTGAAGATACAGGAACAGCTAAATTAGAAGTGGTCAAAAAAGCAGCCATATTCGCTGTATAAGATGCAACCATAACCATAACGAAAAACCAATAAAATGTAGCTAATAATCTTCCAGAAATAGATCGAGGATAAGCTTCAACTCCTTGCTGTAAATAAGAACCAATTGCAAACCAGAAACTGTTCGCTAAGTTAAATTTAACACGGGGTAAAGCATTACGAGGTAGAACTTTCTTAAGTCGAGTTTTCTTTTTACTACTACCAAAACGAGATCTCAAGCCAGGGAAGCAATTACCATAATCAAGATCGACCGGACTATATTGATCTAATAAATACATCACTACGCCGACAAAAATTAAAGCTAAAGCAATCAAAATCCAGACAAGCGGTGAGAATGGTCTTAAAAAAGCGAAAAAATCCGCATTTCGATTGGGCTTCGAAATTAATAATTGCAATCCTGACTGCATAAACGGTTTAGTAAAATCAATTACACTTTGTCTAAACGACGTAATAGATAATGGAGCTATTGCTATATCCATTTCCTATTCAAATGAAATACAAGAATAGTTATTTTAGTATAGGAATTACAATTTGTTAATGCAATCAAATTTACTAGGTCCTTGGTGTAATATTCTAAGATATGATAGATAATCATTAAGAGAGAAAAATTAAATGGAAGCGATCACTGATTTTAAATTTATGTACCCTTCGTGCTAACTGGCCAACCATACCGTCCCAGTTGCCGTCTTCTAATAACTCTCCAAAGATATTACTAGGTTCTAAACTAATGGTAAAGTTGAAGCCTAGTTCTGCAACTAATAATTTTAATAAGTCAATGCAATAGCCTTCGAATGCATCGATTCCAGGCCCTCTTTGATTTTCTGGTTTGTACATAATAAACGGTGCATCCTAAACGATATTCACAAATAAGTACTTAAGGAGAAAGGAAACAGTTAAAACAGAAATATACTCATGATCAGAATGAATTGAAACTCTATTTGATTACTGAAATAGTAAATATTGATTTTTAGAGTATGTACGATAGATTTTCTCTTATATGTTGGTAAAATTATTCATGCTCAACAAAATTAATAGATTCTGTTGTCCCTTATGCAATAACACCAGATCAAATAGACAACACTGGTAATGAAACAGTACCGTACCATGTTTTAAAATCAATGGGCCTAAAAATAAATATGTGGTGCCTTACGATATATGCTCTTCATGGATCAAAACTAGTATCATGGGCTAGAGCACACTATAATTATAATTTATGTCAAATGCTTACGAAACAGATTTCACTTATATTGAACTGACATCTGAAAGGTAATTACATCTTATTAAAATTAATTATCACAATCCAAATTTGAGTTCACTAGCAAGGCAAATAATAACATTCAGTATACTGTAAAGTAATACTAACAAGTTTAAGAAACAACTCCAGCCATAATACGAGTAGTGCATCATATTTTAAACAACTGCCTACCAATATGAGGTGCGTTCATAGCTTAAAAATAGTAACGCGAACTAGAGGACAAATAATGTAATTATGAATTTGTGCCAAATGCTTACAAAAAGTTTCACTCATATTCAAACTAATATCTGAGGAGGTAGTTATATCCTATTAAATTAATTATCGAATTTAAAATTTGAATTCATTAGCAAAGTAAATAAAACCCGTTATCGATATCAATCACGGCATGATAGCAGATCGTACGTTATACTCACTATCACTGTGGTAATTCGCAAAGTTTCATTGGCCATAAACTGTAAATTTTGCGGACTTAAAGGATTCGAAGATTCACCATTATCATTACTTTCGGAAGCCGCAAGTACACTTCGCTTCTCACGCTTTGAAATCTGTATGAAGCGTTCAAGATCGTAAATAACAGGCGAGATCACTGTTACTACGTATTTCGACAACTGGTGTGAATCTTTGAATGTACTATATCGTTTAATTGAATATACAAGGATTTAATTTGAAATTACCGAAGATTGCTTCATTCGACTATGAACATCATGTATTTTAGGATTCCAATGCAATCTTTCTCCGCGGTCATTAAATTCAATTTTACCCGTAGCTCCAGAGAAATAAAGCTGTGATAGTCAATAATCAGCTTGAATTAATAATTAATAAGCTTTTAAAGCAAACTTCTTACAAGCTGCTGTGTGCCCATTGACTCATTTTATATTCACCTTTTTAACCTGCCTCATAATAGCATGACCGGATGTCAATGGAATTAGTGGATGACGATTGCAATTAATTTTCTGATGACGAAATTGATTTAATTGGATAGTCGAACTGATAGCTTTTGCAATAATGTGGACCGCATCATACGAGATAGCTTGTTCAACCTAAGTGGAAGGAAATCCGAAATAAGAGAATACCATTGTGCATTAAATCATAAAGTATCAGCAGTATATTATGTAAAGATACACTTGTAATTCGCTTTTTAATTTAAAACCACTAGGAATTTAAATTGCAATATATGCCTATACGAGTACTATAATCAGGAAATAATTACATTAAATAAAATAAAAACATAAACGAAAATTCTTTCATTACTCTAACATTTTTCCACTTCTGTTCCATCTTGGTATCTGGGCTGTAACCTATACTATATAACCTCTTTAAGCTAGCAAAATCGTCTTCTGCATCCTGAAATACCTGAAGTTATTCGTAATACAGTATTAACAATTAAATGCATTCCAAACGCTACATTAACTAATAAAGAGATTAGTTGCTAAGCTTATGCGATGGGCAAAGTTAGTTTTTAGATTAGAGAACAATTTATAGTGAAATAATCTTAATTGTATAAACAATTGATAGGAATTAACCTCGTCTTTAATAATCCAAGTATGTTTGAAAGTATGCATGTCTTGCCGTACAACCTGTTGCATGTTTAATAATGAGTTAAACCAGTAATTTTACGCATTACTATTTCTCACGTAAAATCATGTAATGAATGGTGATTTCATTGAACGAATACACGTATGTGACATAATTAAATCTACCCTTAGGTATACCTAAATAACAAAAAAAACTGATTATTTTACTTAAATATTAAAATTACTTACGTATGTAACAATATCATCAATGAGGGTACGATCTACACATAAATAAGCAACTCTAATATCAGCGCGATTAATGCGATTAATTATAATTGAGATAGCAACGGATTTTGTCGTATAATTCCAATCAGACATTTCTTCTAGTTGAACATTAACTTCTCTGCGGTGTGCTAACTGTAACACACTCACCAACTCTCCGCTATCTAAAAGGAAAAATTAGTTAAGCTTAACAAGTTTCATGGTGCATAACTACATTGACTGCAAGTAGCTTAATCCCTTAAATTTTTGCTTATCGTAATAATAAACTGGACGACAAACTAACCACACGTTTGATCGTATAGAACTGCAATCCGACGATATTCGTGAATTTCTAAAATGGTAAAGATTTTTTCCAACTCCGCTAACTTTGATGGCTTCAGGTGGAAACTATAAGATTCGCTACCAATATATTTAGAATGCAATACTGAATTGACAGCTAAATGGGGAATTGTATAATGATAAAAAATAGATTCCGCTATAGCCATTGATTGAGGATTTCTTAACGATCCAATAATAGCTACAATACCATTTTCTATAAATTGGCACACTAAAATAATCGATCATAAAAACTTAATAACAGTAGAAAAAAAGGGTAATTCAGAATTTTTTAGTACAAATCTATTTCACGTTCTAGATGCAGTTAGAAAGTATCCAAAATACTGACATTTAATATAATTTCATCTGAGTTATACGAAAATACATTGCACTTACTGTTCAAGATTTATTGTGCAAAGTTATACTATAGTTAAATAAAATAAAATTCCATCTTAGAGGCTGCACTAACCTTGCCGAGATACTACGTAAGGGCTGTCTTTGTCGATAGCCTGAAAGACTGGCGTTAGTGTAGCATTCTGTAATGGATAAACTTTATTTTTGTTGATAAAATCAATGGTTTCTCTAACGGTTCGTCCCTCAATTGATGATTTTTCCATAAATACGCCTAAAGATGATTAAAAAATTATAATTCGACTTTGCATCCAGCAATTCGAATTCTTCTTCACATCTTACGTAAGCTAATGAAACTAATAGTTGCACTATTTGAGCTTAAAATTATAATTATAGACATTATTGCCACCGATTAATTCAATAATACGTCAATAATCAGCATAGTTAAGATAAAATTTAACAGTTACAGCTACGTAATTTCTTTGTTATGAGTTAGTCAGTAGATACTATAGATCGAATGAAAAAAATTTTTAGTAACTGGCACCAGGTATCATATTAAATCGAATACTCCGCGTAATAAAATTATACCATAAGTCAAATGGTAGATCCTCTACTATTACAGTAAATGTTTAGCGAACAATCACGCAACTTAACTTTTAGTGGTTTTACTATAAAAGTTACTCATTCTTTACTATCGCTTCCAAGAAGTAAATATCAGTATTCAGATTTCGAGTAGCTATAATTTAATACTGAAATCTTATTAATTCAGTCCACTGCAGAAAAGTATTGAACGATGATAGCAGGATCTAACTAGCTTTAATTTTGAAATCTTATTAGTGCAGCTCACTAATGGAAAATATTAAACAATAATCAAGTTATCGATCATAAACAATAAGTATAATATCGCCGTTATGCTAAAAATACTGCCTTGATTTAAAATAAGTTACCATTTCACTCGTAATTAAATTTACTCTGATTAGCTGTTGGTTAGGAAGTTGGTTATTAGTTATCGAAGAATTAACGTAGACACCTAGCACCAATAAGTAACTATAATATCATTCATGTCATAAACTTCCTATTTTATTAGGCTTACCAATTTTAATGACGTTATGATTTACTTTTACGATTGGGATTTCCTCAGCGGAAACAAATATAAGAATATATAATAAGATAACCAATTTGGATATTGGCATTTTTGATGATTTTTGGTGATGTCGATGTCTATTCTATCCACTTTTTAATTTCCACCTACACTCTATACTATTTTTTACAGGTAAGGTAATAAATTAATTTAATTATTCTGTAGCGACCTGTCACTGAATTAATACTGTAAAAAAGGAATGGTAGTCGTTCTTATAACAATAATCCCATGACTAGAAACTACACTGAAAAAATTAAATCGCCTAAAGCGACGTAATGCTAGATATAAAACAGTAATCCAGCACTATAGATGACTAATACTGGGGTGTTGACGACAAGGAAAATTTCATCATGACTTTATTAAACTTGAACGAATTTAAATTAGACGGTAATTTAAAGCCATATGCGGACAATATGTTTTAGGAGCCAATAACTCAATGCTTGTTATAGTTCTCGGTGCAAGTAACTCTATTTTGCATATTTGTATTGTTATGAGCCACCAAAATATCGTTAATGAAGTCTTTATATCTACACGAACTATTCTATCTCAGATTAGACGATCTTTTCAACAAGCTATAAAAATAAATATGATTGATTTTACAAGGTGCTGATGTCAACAACGACAACATTAAATCATATGTTGCTACAAGATGCCATATTCTCAGAAGAATTGAATTAATATTTAAAAAATTTGTTACTAGTAGCTAACAAAATCGATTAGTCTAACTTATTTATAAATAAATCTGCAATAGGGCTATTAATATATTAATTTAGTCCAAACTTGAAATATAGCTATCCGTGGCAATCATTCTAACTGACTTTTTCATTTCTTTGTAAATCAGCGGTAGATGTTTTATTCTTACTAAATATAGGTATGGAGAGAGATAGAGAAATGCTAAACTGATGACAAAAATACGGTACTAGACATTAATTTTAATATAAAATTAGATTGATTAAATCCACGTGTAATAAAAGTCTCCCTTCTTTAAACAACTTATTGTAATGTTATTTGGTGCATTTAGTGCTAGCCAAAATTTCTTGTACAGCTCAAAACATATTTTAGACCTTACGAATAACGCTAGGGTTAAGCTTGTGCTATAACAGCTATGTGCAAATACAATCATAATTGAAATAAATACTTGCTGTTATAAATAATGACCTAACCTTCCTCCGTGTTTAAAACATTTTAGCATTAGCTGTAACAAATATCTACGCTTAGGTTTTACTTTAGTTCAAACAATGCAAATTCGGGGTAAACTATGATGACTTTAGCTTACCATCGCACCAATTAATGACTATTTTTTAAACCCTAATTAACATTTATGGCGATCTCCTGCATCAGGTAAATAATTTACAGTATCTCTGATATATAAACGTATAATATACGAGCTTGTAATCCATCCATTAATTCAGCCAATTACTGCTCGTAAAACAAACTAACGCCGAAGATTACAGTCGTCATTTCTATATCAATATTTAGCAATGAACATTTTTTCACTATTTATATAAGTGTAATAGGCTTCTTCTAGCAAAGAAATTGTTACAGAGTTTAAGTGAGAAGCTTGCCTAGATATAGCTAACTTTTTAACTTAATTATTGCTTTCTATAGCCACATATCATAAACTGCCGTTTAAATGGCATCTAAAACTCATGCTAACTTAATTTATAGGACAACTCGTTCATAGTAATGTCTTTGTCGCCCAACATTGTTAATGTCTATTTAATTTAAATGCAATCACAGCTAGATTCCGATGGTATACATAGCTTAATAAATTTAATTGTATGATTGTCTATTAACTACTTTCTACGAAGTCAATATACCGTTTTCAGCTTCTGTGGTTCGATATCGATTATGTCTAATTTAGCTATGAACTTGGCTTATTTTCAACAGGACTACTTATACATTACGAATGATTTGTAATTATAAGGACTATGGCTAGCATTGACTTGAATCGAGTCACTACAGGGATAGATATGTGATCTAGCGACATTGGTACGACTATTTTATCCATTTAACTTAACTGAATTTGGCTGGTTGTATGAGTACATAATTGATCGTAAGCATTTTAACAGGTTTATGAATACTAATTTACGATATTAATGAAAAATTAATAAGAAATTTTGCTAAACTGAAAGTGATGTTAAGTCATGCTTCAACCACAAAATATTTGAATAGGCATATAGATTTTAAGTTTAATTTGAATAGAAGCTATCGATTAAATATATAGCTATATGAATTAGAGCCAGTATTTGAGAAGGAATGACACATAAGTTCATGATCAGATTTGCGGTCAAATTAAGATATAAAGATATAGCTAATGATCGTAAGTAATTATGCTATTAATCCGAGCTTAATTAAATGAAATCTAACATCCTTTGTAGATTGAAGATAGCTCTTCTTGAAGTTATTGCGACATATGTAAATAGCGATTATAATTACCCGATAAGAATATAAATAACAACTTTGAAGATAATATTCTGGATACAATTAGTTTTTAGCCTGCATGATAGATAGAATAATGTCGGCATCAGGGTTATCAATAATATTAATCTTTACACAGAATCTATTCAGTTATTGCATGAAGGCAAAGTTACGCTTGAAATCAATTTTGTATCTACTACCAATGTTATTAATACTTCAATAAGTAGTATTAATTGAGTAATATCTTATTTTAAGACCAGAGCATGCCTAATTAAGCTTGTCGTTAGAAAGATTATAGCTGATATCAGTCAATATATTTCTAAACTTTACACTAGTTCCATTGCAAATCATGATTCTCATCATGACATTTAAATGCTATCGTAGTGGTCTGCTAAGCGATTAAATACTATACATGATTATGAAATCTTTGCTTACAAATCATGAATGTCTTAAAATTAGGCATACCTATTATTTCCTATAACATGTAAAATGCATAGCTCTAAGATAAGCCAAGATTATAGATTTCGGATAACAGTGAAATATATAATTTTTAATTAATTAAGAAAACATTGCTATTGTAAGGCATGGAAAGTAGACAATCTCTTATTAAGGAGAATAGAATGAATAAGTAACGAAGGAACTTATACTTGCTGATTATTTTATCTTATAATTAGATACTTATTTATTGCAGTAGTTAATATTATATCCACTGGCATAATCGTAATAGAAGCTGATATTTTCCAACATTAAATGGCTGCTTTGCATGACATGTAAGTAAATGGAATTTGAAGATAGAAATAATAATAGAATTGGATAAAACATGTTGATTATTTTATATTTGCAGCCAATCTGTATCATCGATGGTTGATTTAAGATTTATTTATTCGTTAGCTGAATGAGTAAACGATGATAAAATTTATATTGGGTGTTGGATTGTGCTACTAGAATTTCATGGGAAAAGTTATGATAATATCCAATGAAATTATTTTTATGCGTATAAAACGCAATTGAAATCGTAGAATATTCAATTTGAAACTTAACTAAGCATTATTCATGACAAGATAAGATATGGAGCATAGAATATATTTCCATCCTTAAACAAAATTTATAAACTACAGTAATGTTACAATTCAATTCGTGCTATTTAGCACTGAATAATGATTGATCTTGAAATAATAAGCAAATACATGATCTTATGTAGACTTGCTATTTAACCAAATCTTACTTTACTTCTAATAATTAATCGCCATGTTATACGTATGTCTATAATAGCATTCGGATTTATACATCAACATGACCATTTCAAGCTAATATAGAATCAATGCATTAATACTACGTGAAATAAAGTAAAATACTAAGGAAAAGCGGAAAATTATACGTAATGGCAGGATTTATTGAATTAATGATTACACTACGGTAGCGAATTAGGGTAAAGCAAATCTGGAATAAATGCAGGACTGGAGCAACGATTGATATAATGCTTCATTCGTTATCACATGATTACCAATCAATTAGTATCATCCATAATAGATGATTACCATGTAGAAGTAAAGTTTACAGAAATTAGAAGAGTATTTGGGGTTTTTGACTTACGACTACTGGTTCTCTTGTTGGAAGACGAAAGTGAGACTATCACAAAGAATCATCGTCTTTTTCAGGAACTCCAATGGCTTTTTCAGAAGCTGTGTTGTTATCACCTTCAATATTATCTGGCATTACAGCACTTTGATGGCAACATGGACAATAAGTTTGTCGAATATCTTGATTAAATATGATATAGATCAAAGGTAGTAATATAAGATACAGCATGGATAGAATTCGATCAGCACCGATGATACCAGCAGAAGAGGCATTTAGCTTATTTTGGTAGGTAACCGAAGTCAATATGAGGATACAACGAGGGGTTAGACAAGCAGTGTAAATTAATGTAGTCAAAAAGCATAATTTAATAAACTTCTTTTCTTCACGTTTCTTTTCTAATATCTCAAATGAAGCCACAATAGTTTTACCACATTGAAATTTCATCAAGATAGCATAACATACACCTAAGGATAAAACAGGGATGAAGTAATTTAAAGCTAGAAAGGATATCCAAAATGGCTTATGAGGTGTTAAGATATGATTATATGTATTGCATGGAGCAGTATGATTTGTGCAATGTGTATAAATTGCAATAGGTACAGTAAAAGCTACCGCGATAATCCATGCTAGTACGATTAATAATTTAATATATTTATCGCTAAATCGCTTGGGATACCTAAAGCTTTCATAACAACGTTCAATAGCAATCCAATTTAAGGTATGCATGGTAACGATAAAGGAGCAATACGAAGGTGCAACGATAAAAATTCGAGAATAGATTGAAAAATTATTCAACGGGATAATTCCACGCGAGTTCAAAAATAGAACAAGTGATCCGCTAATTGGGTTGATAATAGCGAGTAAAGTTGTAATTCCAATACTAGCTAGAAACTGATAGAAAGGATGTTTTTTCAATGCCGGCTTGATAAATAGTGCAATAGTAGCCACTAAATTTAAATATAGCCCTAGTACACTGATCACAGCAACGACAATAAATGTTCGCATATCTAATGGTGGAGGATTTGTAGTCGCAGCTATTGCAATTGTAGTAGGTACTGTTGTTGCCGAAGATCTAACAGTACTTGTAGTTAAAGCAAGAATGCTAGCAGTAGTTGAATCAGTAGTATTGGTCATGGATAATAACGGATTATTGGTGGAATCATTGTAATCTATTGAAATGATGCTAGCCATGTTGGTTAGGTAGTTTTATGATTCCAAGGGAGAATCTTGCTTGTTTATTAATTCTATTGCTGTCGCAAATTTCAATCACTCTTAGGACTTTCTAAAGAAGAAGGAGGAAAAAATTGAATATGTTTATGGTCGAGGTGGCCATTGAAAATGCAATTCAATTTTAAATCACGGCTTGAGCCATGACGATAGCTGATTTAAAAATGCCGCTTACCGAGTTCTTAAATCACTTGTAGGACTTTCTAAAGTAGATGAAGGAAAAATATTGAATGCAATGATGTTAGAAGTCGCATTGGAATTGCTATTCAATTTTAAATCATGATTGAGCAATGACTAAATATCGATGAGATAATAAACTTGTTACGAGTGCTGTCGATACAGAGAGATTTCTACTTAAGGAAGCAGCCTCCTATTAATCATTTCGTTCATTTTCTTCTAAAGCTTATTTTTCGAATAAAATAGATAATACTACGGCTTATAATTAGGAATTTCAATAGATTATTTCTCTTCAAGAAAATTCTATTGAGGAAAGATGTGACCCGTTATTGAAAACGATGACATTTACGTTTGATTTTCTTTCAAAAATGGTGTTGTCAGCAATGTTGAAGATACTGCAGCTTGTAATTTAGGAATTTCAGTGGACTATCAGGTACTATTTTCACTGAGAAATTCTGTCTAGGAAAGATGTTTCAGATCAATAGCAAATGGTTGCAATGATAAGACTTTGCTACGATATCTTTTCATCACTAACAAGGAGTGGATGATTTATAGTTTATAATTTAGAAATTTTAATATGTTGGTATGTCAGTTGCTACTAGTTTTGCCAAAATCACTAAATTTGCTAAATCACTGTAGCACTTATAATTTTACAATATTCGTAGTTAGTTTTCAAGAACACTAGAACTTAAGTGATTTGGAAATTCACAGATTTCATAACTAATGGTAACTACTTGTTATTTTGCTAGTTTAAGAAACTATCGAACTGCAAAGCGAGAAGAGCAATACTAATAAACTCGTTATAAGCAATAATTTTCAGCAAAGGACCCATTGTCTAGAGTAAGAAGAGAATCAGTGTAGCAATAAATTCTTTGATTAATCATTAGCACTAGTACTAATAGCCTAAAGTAAGGAGAGAAATGCTAGTAAACTCTATAATTAATAAATCATTGACATTTGAACTGATTGCCCACCCGGTGTAAGAACATTAGAATCATTTTTACTTCCTGTAATCAATATCTAATAACTTTATACGATCAAAGCTGTCATGTTTCGCTCTAAATTTTCGCATTAGTAAAATTCGATCCTAATTAAGCATTGAAGAGCAATGCTTCTAAATGGATGCTTGTAATCATATTCTATCCTTGATTAGAAAATCTCAAGGGAACTATGACGTCAACTATTACCAATCAGAGAATTCTGTCATGTCTGTCGTTGGAATTCTTGTCGAAAACGCCATCATCATCCGGAACTTGCAAGAAATGACTGTCATGGGAATGGAGCAAATTCAAGCCTTGGCCTACAATCATTCACACTTGAAAGTGCTAGCATGAAATCAACTTTACTGCATGTCAAAGTCAATCAATTTTTATAATGTGAAACTTTATGAAATCCATCCATAGCCATCCAATTTTTTAGTTGGAGTTAATCTACCGCGTGCAATTATAGAAGGAGTCTAGAGTTGGTCTACTATAGGCTAATGCAATGGATAAAATGAACCGAATCTACTTCTATTGAGTCTTTATAGTAGTGTTATTTGTCTCCTTCGTTATGAAGTTACTTAAGCATGAAGGAAATAGAATCGTAATATAATATTTTTCGCCATTTCTGTTTAATAGAACGAAAATAATGAACCCAATCTACTTCTACTGCGCCTTCATAGCAGTACTGTTTGCCGCTTTCGTGATTTAGTTAACTTAATCATGCAGGGAGTAGAGCGTTAAAATAATACTTTACACCATTTTGTTTAATGTAACAGAAAAATGAACCCAATCTACTTCCGTTGAACCTTTATACTAGGGTTATTGGTCTCCTTCGTTATTAAGATAACTTAAGCATGGAGGAAATAATGCCTTAAAATAATACTTTTCGCTATTTTGGTTTAATGTAGTGCAAAAAATAAAACGAATCTACTTCTATTGAGCCATCATGGTGTTATTGATGGTCTTCGTTATTAAGCTAACTTGAGCAAACATTTTTTTACATGGTGGTAAGACAACGTCGATGTAGAATCCAACTCATGAAATTTGTATAATAAGATCGATTTTGTTGTTAACAACATTTTAAAATAATAATTAAATTTCCTGTTGTAAAATCAAGAAATGCTACAGCTATCAACTATTATTGTTTAATTATTTCTCATTGCAATATATATATATAGATTTACCTTTATCTTTAGGCAGGTACAATTTGTTGCGAATAAAGATTTTACTGCTATAGACAATTTCGACATATGTATTGCAGTCATTTCACAAGACTGTAACAGCCTAAATCAATGGCCGTCACTTATGCTCTAAAGATAATTAATTAGAGTTGCTGGCTAATAAGACTTTTTACCTCTATGATTAATTTTCTTCTGTAAGAAATGTTCTTTTTCAAGACTGTTCAAATCAAACACGACTGAATATTAAAATAGTTCAAATGAATAATAAAATTCTCTTAAAGCATTCTATTCTCAATACTGCTTAGATCAACCTTGAATTAGAAAATAAAATGACCTATTTTCTTTCTCCATTTTGTTTCACTACGATGAAAATAATTTATTTCATCATTTTCATAGTCAATGTTACTTTGTGGTCTTTTAACTTAATCATTTCAATACTACATTGATCTACTTTCAATTAGGGAATTAAATGACCAGTTTTCTTAATTCTGTCTTATTTCGATGAAATAATTTGGTTTAACTCGTTGCTAACACTATCTTATTTCTTGAATTAAGGTAATCTCTTCCCTTTTTCAATAGTGCATTAATCAATTTTCAATTAGCAAATAAAACGATCAGTTTTCTTTCATCATTTTGCCTTACTCTGAAGATATAATTTGATCAAACTTGTTACTAACACTAACTTATATTCTTTTAAAACAATCTATTGCCATTTCATAACATCTTGATCTAGAAACATAATAATTCATTTTAAGCCTTCAATGGGCCTCGTTCTAGTGAAATAATTACATCAAATTGTTGCTAACGTTGTAGTACGTTCTTTTAAGGTAATCTATTTTCAATACTGCATTGATATACTTTTAATTAGCAAGTAAATAATCCATTTACTTTCTCAATTTTGCTAAACTCCGATAGGCCGATGAAACAATTTGATCGAAATTGATTATCAACACTACACTAATGATGTTTAATGAATCGATGTTATGAAAGGAAATAGTTAGTTTTCATCCAGTTCGTTGGTAATATTATGTTCTTTTTAATGTAATTTGTTTCAACATTCATTGATTTACTTTTCCTCAAGAAACAAAAACCAATCTGTTTTCTTTCTCAATTTTGCCTTAAAATTACTGTGATAGAATAAATGCATCGAATTTATTGCTAACGCTATACTAACAATATTCAATGTAACAATGCTATGAAACTAAATAGTTAATTTTCATTCTCAATTTGCCTCAAAATTACTCCGACAGAATAATTATATCCCAATTCGTTGCTAGCGCTACTCTAACAGCTTTCAATAAAATTATATTATGAAGTTTATAGATGAGTTTTCTTTCTCAATTTTGCCTTAAATTGACTCCGATGGAATAATTGGATCAAATTTATTGCTAACGCTACTCTAACAGTATTCAGTGGAACGATTTTAAGAAAATAAATGATGAGTTTTCTTCCTTAATATTTCCTAAAATTACCCCAAGAGAATAATAATATCCAATTTGTTGATAATGCTACATTAGTAACGTTCTATAGAATGATGTTATAAAATCTATAGATGAGTTTTCTTTCTCAATTTTGCTTTAAAATTACTCTGATGGGATAATTGGATCCAATTTATCGCTAACGCTACAGTAATAATATTCAATAGCATAATGTTATGAAACTAAATGATGAGTTTTCCTTCTCAATTTTGCCCTTAAATTATTCCTGATGAAATAATTGGATTCTATTCATTGCTAACGCTACTCTAATAAAGCTAATCCATTTCTTCAATTGTATATCGATTGTATGTAAACTTCCTCTCTTGCAAAAAAAGTGCGATACAACAGTTGAAAATATATCCATTAGACCGTTCAACTTGGCAGTGAATAGATCAGTCATGATGAGTTTTCTTTTTCGATTTGTCTTTATCGTCTTTGGAATATACAGAAAGATCTATTTGTCGGGTTCAATTTTCTAAAGCTAGCGAAAACTAAACACCTCCAATATTTACCATAGACATTATCTGGATTTTTACTATTCCCATTCAGAATAAATCCTTTAAATAATAATCCTCTATCGATGCTATTAACTAAATTAAAGCAAGGCAAACAAGCATTCAACAAACATGAGACCTTTTAATCCATGTAAATTAACTTACTTTAATATTCCAATGAAAAACGAGTTATGCTTGCTTCGCTTGTAAAATGGATAAGCCACTAGTCATAAGCAACTTGCAAATGTGCAATAAATCAACCACATCAAGTTCAAGATATAGGAAAAAAAGTTGAAATAATTATCTAACGTATTGATATTGACTTATAAAGAATCTATCAGATCGTGAGCTATATAGAAAATGTCAAAAACAATTTAATCAATCAATTTAATTGGTTTACTGAAAAAAAACGATTTCAATTCATTGCTCTGTATTTGTATATGGAATAGAATGAATCCTGTCTATTGATAGAAAATTCAAATAGGTATTCTAGAGCAATTATATCCTCTATTAAATACTTAGAATAGATAAACAATACCTGTCATAGAGCTAGAAAATTCTATTTACACATTAAAATGTTTCGGTAGCAAAGTACAAATCTAGACAAGAAATGATGTTTAACATTCACATCATGGCTATTGATTCTCTTCG